TCTCAATAGGGGTTTTTAGGAAGCAAATTGAAGATAATAAATGAATTTTTTTTTAATCTGAAATGCTGTGAAATAGTGCAGTACCCGTTCACATGAAATAATACAGGGTAGCAAACTGAGATTTCCAAATACAAACTGAGTGGGATGGGGGCAGAGAGAAATTATTTTGTGAGGCTTGTGGGCAAGATGCTGAAATTATCACGTGCTGTACATCACTGTGTTCACTTGGATTTTTCCAGCAATGTTTGTATCTATTTAATAATGATATTTCTTTCTGTTGCATGAAGATCAGGCTTGGGATAGGAGAGGCATCAGGAGATTTTGGTAACAGTGGGATGTTTCATCCTTAGCATAAATATCTATTGTGTACACAGAGCACAGATGTCACTGCGAGGGTATAAAATTTTACATTATAGAACTGGGCACTGATCAGCTTTACTGCCCTTAATTACAACTTCTCCATTAATAAACATGAGGCAGCAGCTTTCATCCCTATGACTCCCAAGGGCTGCCAAGGCTTTGTAGAGGGACCAGGGCTGGAAAAGGATCTGCCAGCAACAAAGATGTGAGAAGTGCAGTTTGGGAGGGGAATTACTCTCTCCAATAAAGGAGATGCTCTTGCAGCTAGATGAGAACTTTTGGAGTGAAGCTGTTCCACAGACCCTGCACTGTCAGTCCCTCCAGTGTGGGGCCCTGCTTTGCCCTGGGCTGCCTGTGGGCTCTGGGGGTCCCAGTGCCTCGGGAGGGGCTGCAGGGAACACTTTTTTCTTCTTTTCCAGGTCTGTGCTTTGTCAGCAGCTTGTTTAAACCCAGTCAGTGAGAGCCGAGCCCCAGCACTGCCTCTCAAGGTGCTCTTTGTGGGGCTTTTAGGATGTTCTTTGTCTTAGGAGAGGTTTTACAGGGCTGCTGATGGGGATGAGGCAGCAAGGAAAGAAGGGAAACCACCTGGACCTCACCTGAGTTGCTTTAGTGCTTTTTTTAAGGACACAACACACAAAGCACCAGAGAACACTGCCCAGCCAGAGCTCTGCTGGCTAACAGGGGAAAATGCAGATCCCAGTGCCCCCCAGCACAGCCCCTCCTCTCTGAGCATCCCGGAGGGCTCGGGATCCCGGGAATGCCGCGTTTGTTTAGTCAGGGCAGGGCAGGGATGCCTGTGCTCCCAGGAGAGGAGGGGGTGCCACAGTGATGCCTCACACACCTCCGGGGGGCTGGGGGAGCAGGCAGGGCTGGGCTCTGGCACAGCCTGCCCTGCAGATAACCCAGCCATGGCCCTGCAGACAGAGAGAGCGAGCACCCACCTCCTGCAGCTCCTGCTGCGGTGCTGAGACACTCTGCACCTCCCTGAAGTACTCTGCACCCTCCTGGAATACTCTGCACCTCCCTGAAATACTCTGCACCCTCCTGAAATGCTCTGCATCCTCCTGAAACACTCTGCACCTCCCTGAAATACTCTGCACCCTCCTGAAATACTCTGCACCTTCCTGAAATGCTCTGCACCTTGCTGAAATTCTCTGCACCTCCCTGAAATACTCTGCACCCTCCTGAAATGCTCTGCATCCTCCTGAAACACTCTGCACCTTCCTGAAATACTCTGCATCCTCCTGGAATACTCTGCACCTTGCTGAAATTCTCTGCACCTTGCTGAAATTCTCTGCACCTCCCTGAAATACTGTGTACCTCCCTGAAACAATCTGTACCTTCCTGAAATGCTCTGCACCTTCCTGAAATACTCTGCACCACCCTGGAATACTCTGCACCACCCTGAAATGCTCTGTACCACCCTGAAATGCTCTGCACCTCCCTGAAACACTCTGCACCTTCCTGAAACACTCTGCATTTTGCTGAAATACTCTGCACATTGCTGAAATATTGAAACACCGACAGGGGATGGCAAAGATGTGCTCTCCAACTCCACAGTATTGAGGGTTTGTCCTGAAACTTGGAATTTAATTAAGCCCTGCCTTAGCTGGAAAACCTTTAGGGTTTGTTGTTTGGTTTTTTTCCTTCTCTTTTAATGTCTTTTTTTTTTTTTTACAGCTCCACTGACCCTGCTTGTGTGAGGTCTGACAATCTCTCAGTTCAGTCATGTTCTGCAGACTGGAGTTTAGGGCTTCTCTCCATCACTTCTCTGGTCAAAGTCTTCATTTTTCCATCCCAGTTCTCTGGATGGGAGATGATCCATGAACAGATCTGTTTTCCAGCTAGGTCAGGTTCCCCATAGTGCCCTATGATTTAATTGATTCATTAATTAATCTCCTTCTTGGCTTGATTTGGGATGATTCTGGAGGTTCCTGGGTTTGTGTTGATGACAGATGTGAGCCCACATGCCCCAGTGTGAGCTCCAGAAATGCAAAATCTGAGCCACCGTGTTCTGCTCAGCCTGGCCTCGGGCTGGGGGCTGCTGGCCTGGGATATTTGCACTTCTTCATTGGCCAAAGCAAGGGAATGTGTGCTGAGCCTCGAGCAGGGACCCCTCTGATGGAAAGGTTTGTGTCTCTCGTTATAAAATTAGGCTCAGCAGCATCTTGAGTGTGCTGTTTCCACAGGAAAAGGGAAATGTCAATATTTAGATGCCTTTTAAAACCACAGTGTGAACCAAAGGTTCCTCTCAGCTGTGTGGGTGCAAATAGGAAGGGCAGCCTTGCTGTGTGTGCCAGGCTCAGATCCTGAGCCCAGCCTTCCTGCCCTTCACCCATTTCCTGCGTGTGCCTGGATAAGGCTCTTCCCGTTGGAAAAGGGGCAGAGTTTTCCTCTGCCCACCCTCCTCGGGGCTGAAGAAGAGGATTTGTCCTCCAGAAGTGCAGCATCCAGCCCAAGGAGCCAGCAGTGTTGATGAATAACAGGAAAAGCTGGCTGTTCTCCTTTTTTTGTAGTGTAGAGCCCAGGCCCAGCCCAGGGGGGATTCCTGGGGGCCTGACTCCAACATTTGGCTTTGTCCCAATCCAAAGTGGACTCCCATACTCAAGGCAAAAGCCAGGCTGGACCATGAGGCCAAGGGGGCTGCTGTCCAGCCCTGGCAGCTGCCCTGGTGCCACAAAAAGCCATTGTTCATGAAATGCCTGCAGCCAACAGCGGGCCCTGGTTGCCAGCTGAGCTGACAAATTTGAGTTCTTGAGCTGCAGCTTCAGGCCAGCTGCTGCCTCACAGCAAATGCTCTGCACAAAAATACAAGGCATCACGTTTCCTATTTGGGTGCTATCTCTCTGGACATTACTTGCACTTTCTGATAAGAAATTCATGCTGAGGCACAGCCAGTGTCCCACTGACTGGGGAGCAGACAGTCCATTTTAAAGCTAAAAGCAAAATCTATCTTGTACTGAAAAAAAACTAAAAAATTACATCCACCGATTTCTCTTTGCAAAAATGCCTCAGGTGACTAAAGCTACCTGCTGGCTCTGGCTGCTCCATCCCTGGAAGTGTCCAAGGCCAGGCTAGACAGGGCTTGGAGCAATCTGGGGCAGTGGAAGGTGTCCCTGCCCATGGCAGGGGGTGGGATGAGATGAGATTTAAGGTCCTTTCCCACCCAAAGCATTCCATGATTCTGTGATCTTGTAATGAGTAAGTATGAGATGAAGAATTCACAGAATGACAATGAGAAAAACCCTATCTTTTATATAGGGATCACAGACTAGATCCCTATTTTTCATATTTCAGAATCATTAGGGTTGAAAAGGACCTCTGGAGATCACTGAATCCAACTCCCAGCCAAGGCAGGGTCACCTGGAGCAGGTGGCAGGAATGCATCCAGGTGGGTCTGGGGTGACTCCCCAGAGGGAGATCCAAACCTCCCTGGGCAGCTGTTCCAGGGCTCTCATGGAAAGAGGTTCTTCCTCATTTTGAGGTGGAATTTCTTGTGTTTTACTTACAAGTCCAATATATGTAAGTCTAATATAATAAATCTAAATAATGAAGATTAGCGGTGCTCTTCAAAAGCCTCAGGCAGGAAAAGGTGATGATGAAATATATCACAGTAATCTTACTATTATCTATTTCTTTATTGCACTGACCACAGCACACACAAGGTATGGGAATAAATCACATGGACTCAGTTTTCTTCATGGTGGAACAAGCCCATTCTTTATTCACATAACTGGTTTTTATACAGTTTTACAGACCTTGTGGGTTAGTAGCTTTCTTGCCAATCACTTTATTGGTCAGTAACAAGTTGTTATCCTGTATTGATTGGTCACTCAAACCCTGAAGTGGATGTGCAGGGAAAGTTGTTTGTGAGAGATAGTTTTCATTTTTCTAACAGTGTAAAACCAGTTTACACAGGTGCTAGTTGTTTTTCACCCAGGAGCAGATTGTTATGTTAACAACTGCTCACACCAGGATTGCTTCACATGGGAATTGCAAAGTGCCAGCTTGCCTTAGAAGAAATGACAGGCTAGCCAGAGCAGGCTGATTTTATGAAGCCTTTCTTGATGATTTTCCTACTTCACTGCAACCATAAAGTGCCACATTTAACTCTGGCACCAGTGCTCCAGAGAGGCTGCTCAGTGTGAAAAGGGGTGGGTGAATCAAAGTGAGATCCAGGTGGGAAGGGGATCCCAGCAGGATGGGAACCAGGTGGGAAGGGGATCCCAGCAGGGTGAGATCCAGGTGGAAGGGGATCCCAGCAGGGTGAGATCGAGGTGGGAAGTGGATCCTAGGAGGGTGAGATCCAGGTGGGAAGGGGATCCCCGCAGGGTGGAAACCAGATGGGAAGGGGATCCCAGCATGGTGAGATCCAAGTGGGAAGGGATACCAGCAGGGTGAGATCCAGGTGGAAAGTGGATCCTAGGAGGGTGAGATCCAGGTGGGAAGGGGATCCCCGCAGGGTGGAAACCAGATGGGAAGGGGATCCCAGCAGGGTGGGAACCAGGTGGAAAGCAGATTCCATCAGGTTGGGAACCAGGTGGAAGGGTTCCCAGCAGGGTGGGAACACCGAGCTGGAAGCGAGGAGCCTGGCGGTGGGTGTGACACTGTGACAATGTGGGTGTGCTCCCTGTCCCCAGCACAGCCTGGCCAAGGCTCTCTACGACAACAAGGCGGAGTGCTCGGACGAGCTGGCGTTCCGCAGAGGGGACATCGTGACGGTGCTGGAGCAGCACGTGGCGGGCAGCGAGGGCTGGTGGCGGTGCTCCCTGCACGGCCACCACGGGCTGGCCCCCGCCAACCGCCTGCAGCTCCTGCCGCCCTCCACAGCCCACGGCCCCGCCGAGCCGCCAGCCACGCTCAGCATCTACCAGGTGCCCTCCGTGCCCAAGGCCACGGTGGCTTCGGCCACCTACGAGAAGATGGAGGGCTGGGTGCAGCCCCAGGCCGTGTACCAGGTGCCGGCCCTGGCGGCGCAGCTGCTCAGCGAGAGGACCAAGCGCTCCACGCAGCAGGTGAGCTCTGAAAAACCAGATGTTGTTGTTAAAACGATGGCTGGGAGGGGGGAAAAAAGGAAGCCTGAGATTTTCGGTGGTGTTTGCAGCAGAAGAATGATGGTGTTTAGGAAACTCCCATCAATTTATAGAATAGTGTGAGAAATGCTGCTCTGGGCGACAGATGAGAGTCTCTGCATTCCGTGCTCCCTCACCTTTCTGACAGTTTAAAACAGCTGTAAAACAGGGCAGGAAGTAAAGAATATACCATTTGTCTGGGAGAATCTATATATGATTTACAAAGTTAAAATAACAAGAGACAGAACTTTCTCCAGCAGCCATCCAGAGCCCTCTGGGCACATGTGGAGTCTCTGCATCCATCTGCACAGGAACATGATTCATCATTTTTTAAAAATCACCCTTTGGTGTGTGATTGCTGGGTTTGGTCTGGTTTTTACTGTCTGCAGCAGCTCAGCAAGTTCAGAATGCTGCTGCCTCTCTCTTGTGCTGTCACTGGGCTTGCACCAAGCTGCAGCCCCTGCCAGATGCAGAAAAACACAAAGTTTTGTTGTGTGCCCTCAACCAGTTTCTCTCCCAGCCTATTTCTGCTGCTGAGATGTTGACCAAGGTGTACAGGAGGGGAGCTGCCACCAGTTCCTTCAGTTACTGAGGAGAACAAACTGGTTTTCTAAGGTTTCATTGCAGCTCCCTGGCCTGGCTCTTCTTTCTCCCAGCTCCTCAAATGTACATGGAACATGCAACTTGATTACATCTCACTGGTTTTTAACATCAAAACCTTGTGCTTTCTTCAGGAAAAAATGAGTGGGGAGTGTTTCATAATGAAAGGGAAATGGAGCAGGTGGGGACAGAGTTCAAGTGCGAGGTTTTGTTCAGTTCTGTGAGCTCTCCAGCCCTGGGTGGCTCTTTATTCTGTGTATGGAAATCACATTTGAAATTCTAATTGAAAAAGAAAAGGAAGAAAATTCAGCTATATAGTGTTTTAGGCTGATTTAATGATCGTTTGATTTATGGGGCTCATTCAGCCACCTTGCCTCCTGCTGTGTGGAAGGCCAGTCATGGAAATCATGCTGCTTCCTGCTGGGTGGCAGGTGGGTGCTGGAAAACAACAAACTCAGGGCATCCCTGCTGACCAAAACCTCATTTTCAGCTCTGCAGCTGCACTGCACAACCATAACTCAAAGTCAAACCGAGTACAGCTACAAGAGACTCTTCTGCACTTGCTGTCATTGATTTCTCCACAATTCCTGACCCTAAAGGAGCCATTTGCAAACTGAATCAGAAATTGGCATCAATTTTCCATGTTGTGCCAGCAAATCAGGTGGAAAATGTCATCTATTCATTATGTGGATGAATGGCCTGGCAGAGCAAGGCTTGGCTCTCCCTGCCTCATCTCATGAATTTATCCACCTAAGCTGTGCCTAGTCTAAGAATGAAAAAGAGTGAAGGAGGAAAAAGAAATGTCCCAGCCTCTGATGATTATCCAGAAGCTGAGAGTGGGGCTGCCTGTGGCACAGTGTCCCAGCTGTCCCCACACCAGCTGCACCCTGGTGGTCACAAGCTGTCCCCAAGGCAGGGGAGCTCAGGGAGCACAGAACAATCCAGGCCATCCCACAGAGATCCTGTGGCACAGCTGGCAAAGCTCCTGCCATACTCAGCTGTCCTCTGAGCAGCTGGGAAAAGCCACTGTGAGTCTTTGAGGGAGCTGGTTGAAAGCAGTGAAACAAGAATAAATCCCTCAGAGCCTGGGTGTTTTCACCCCACAGAGAAACCTCCTTGCTTCTGCCTCACACCCAGGGCACCTTCTGGTTCTGCTGCCACTGACAGGACTTGCAAAAGTACCAAGATGTGATATCCAGTGAGTTTCCTTTCTGCTGGATTCTCAGATTTGTCCACCTGGAAGCAGACCTGCCTAAGGAGGGCTTTTATCTTTTACCCTTTCCCTCGGGGAAGCTGTGCCTCTTTTGCAAGGAAGATGCTCATACTCAGGCACAGGTTGCCCAGGATTCCCCATCCCTGGAGCAGTTCCAGGCCACATTGGAGGGGGTTTGGAGCAGCCTGGGATAGTGGAAGGTGTTCCTGCCCTCTGCAGGGGGTGGAAGAGATGCTCTTGTAGATCCCTCCCAACCCAGAGCATTTTGTGACTCTGTGATTCTCCATCACAGCACTAAGAGGATTTGTGTTCACTCCTCATTCCCTGTTTCCAGGTGAGAGCTGAACCAGGCAGAGTGAAGCTGCACTCTCTTCCTCCATCATATTTCCCCTACATTTAGCTGCTGAAGGACTTGCACAATGGCAATCACTCCCTCCAGTTAAAAACCAGTTTAAAGTTTAAAATTTCCTGTAATATCTCACCCCAGCAGTGTTTCTGGAGGTTTGCAAGGGCCCATTTATAAATTAGCTGAGGGTAGCCAGGCTAAAGGCAGGCTGCATGAACAAAATTCCATCTTTTCGTGGTTGATTCTAAAAAAGAAAAATCCTAACCCAGCATTCATATTTTGTGACATTAATTGTCCCACAGATCTGGTCATGGCTGCTCAAATTATGATTTAATCAAAAAGGAGAATCTGACTGCAAAGATATAATTCCCTGTTTCTGGAGCTGGACAGGACATCAAGGTTTAATCCTTCCAAATGAGTCATTAGTACATAACTACAGAATAATGCTCAGCCTCACTTTTCTGCTGCTCTGACATTAAATTGGCTTGACCCAATGACTGTGGGCTTGGAGAAGTCGAAATTTCCCCACTTCCTTTTTTAAGTGGTTCTGCTTTTGGGCAGTTTAAAGGTTTAAGTGATAACTGCAGCAGAAAAGATTTGGATTTTCTCCAAATCTTTTCTGCCCTGTGGTTTGTAAGGCAGATTGTCTTTGTGCCAGTTCAGATCTTATCTAAAATGTACCAAACATGCTGGTAAACGAGAATTATTTGAGAATAAACATGCTATTGCTCCTAAGGTCAGTTCCTGTCTCTCACCTTCAGTGAAGAGCTGAAGTTTTTTATCACTTAAGAGTGATTACTCCAGCAGTGGCTTTTTCAGCTAAATGACTTTTCAAAGCTTCCTGCTGATGCAGTTTTATTATTATTATTTATTTTTTCTCCCCTCCAAGCACCTGTTTACCCTCCCCAGAGCCTGCAGGGCCTCAGCCCCAAACATCAGGGGTGAGGTGTACGATGTCCCCTCCTCGCAGCACCGCTCCCTGCTCCCACAGGTGAGTCCTGCCCCCTCCCTCCCTGCAGCTGCCACCTCAGAGCAGATCTGCAGTCAATTCCACTGTCACCCTGCTTGCTTTTTGCCAATTTGGGAAGAAAGTAATCTATTTTTAGCTCAAAACCTCAGTTCTCCTGAGTTTCTTAGACATTTAGAGCAATGTGTCTTAAATCTGGTGTGTTTCTAATAAACACTTCCATTTTTTCTGTCAGTAATACTGATAGAAAAACACTGATAGATATCAGTGACACTGATACAGAAAATTCAAAAAGACATCTATAGTGTCACCCTCTCTGCCTTGGAATCCATGGGAAAATGCCTTACTGACAGAAAAAATGGAAGTGTTTATTAGAAATGCACCAGATTTAAAACACATTGCTCTGAATTTCTAAGAAAGTCTGGAGAACTGAGACTTTTGAGCTAAAAATGGATGATCTTCTTCCCAATTTTACAAAAAGCAAACGGGGTGACAGTAGAATTGACCTGTCACCCTCTCTGCCTCGGAATCCCTGAGGAAAGCTGGGGGTGTCATTTGGTGGGGGTGCCTTGGGGATGTTTAGAGAAGAGTCACAAGCGCATGCCCAGCAAGAAATTAAATGTCACCTCCCCACCCTCCTCCTAGAAATAACACACCCTGGCTTTGGTCACATCCCCATGATGTGTCCTGTTACACAATCCTGTCCCTGGTGCTGTCCCACTCCCCTGGGCTCAGTGAATGTCACATTTCCTCCACCTCTGAGGAGGGGACAGGCACCAGTCCCCAGCCTGTCCTGTCACCTCCCACACCAAGGAGTGAGTGGCACTGCAGCACATCCAGGGCTCCCCAGCCCCTGCTGCCCCTGGCAGTGCAGGCTGGAGCCCAGTCCATCATTATCCACAGATGTCCTGGGTGACCCCTGCTCAGACCCAGACCAACTCATGCGTGGCCCAAAGCCTTTGATCCCACTCAAGGCCCCAGTGGGCTCTAAAGAGGATCAAAATAAACCAATTTTCTTCCCTTTGAGCAGAGTGGTGCCACTCCCCCCAGCACACGGAAGGGCTCCATGCTGGGCAGATCCCCTGAGAGCTTCCAGGCAGAGCAGAAGCAGCTGTACAACATCCCATCCAAGCCAGAAAAAGGAGGAGCTGGCAGCCAGGACTCACCAGCAGGCAATGTAAGTAAGGCTTGGTGGGCACAGAAGAATCTGTCACTCCTAGCATGCCTGCCTTGGAGCAGGGACAGGTTTCCCATCTCCTCCCCACTGTTTCTTACACAACAAATGGTCCTGAATGCCCCTTTTCCAGCTTAGACTCCAGCTGTACGCACAAATATCTGTATCAAGCAAAATTTAAAGTCATTGAAGATGTTTGAGCAGAGTCAGTGGTGTCTGTTGGTGAGTTATTGCTTGAAAGGGTGTGCATGTGAGTGGGGAACAAGTGTCTACAGATTTCACTGGCTGGGGACTCTGCTGTAGGATCTAATCACCTGTACTCCAGATATTTTACCTTTGATACATGCAGCTTGTGCATGTTGGAAAATAAAAAATACAGGCAGCCTTTCTGTGGTGCTGTTCCATTGACATCAGTGGAGTTGCACACATTTGTGTGCTCTGAGAATTCAGTTCTGCTTCTCATTCTTGTTCAAAAAGATGGTTTATGAACCCTCTGTGCTCTGTTGCAGTTATATGATGTCCCTCCCAAAAGAGAGCTCGATGACTCAGAAAATAAATCTCAGAAGAAGTGCTGGGGCCATTACAACACCTTGCCAAACCCTCGGAAATCCGAATGGATTTACGATATTCCAGTATCCCCCGAAAATTCCATGTTCAAAGCCAACCCTCCTGGGCAGCCTGTGGAGAAGCAGGTGCTGTATGACATTCCCCCAGCCAGGTACAAGGCTGCAGCCACAGCCACTGAAGGCAGGGCTGGGAATCCACAGCTGTACGACTTTCCACCGGCCCAGCGGAAATTAACGCTTCCAGCAATCCCCCTGTACGACGTTCCACCCTCACGGGACGTGCTCCTCCTGCCACAGAACAGCAGCTCTGAGCTGCCCCCGAGGCTCCTGGCTGCCAAGGCTGAGAATCAGATCTCTGAGGAGAACGTTTATGATATTCCCAAAGGTTTGCCCAGTGCTGGACACTCCAAAGAGATGGAAAACAGTGATGGCTCCAGAGACCAAGCACACGGTGCTTCTCCACAGCTCTCCTTGGATGCCAAGTCAGAAAATGACAGTTTGTGTGTCTCTAGTGTGGACAGCAGAAGCAGCACTCTCTCCTCATCCTCCAGCTCTGCTGCTGAGTCATTTTCTACACTGTCGCCATCCCCAGAGCCTGTCCAAGAAATCAAACTGGAGCTGGAAGCAGCCATCGAGACCCTGACTCGGCTGCAGCACGGCGTGTCCAGCTCCATCGCCAGTTTAATGATCTTTGTGAGCAGCAAGTGGAGATTGCAGGAGCACCTGGAGAAAAGCCTGGAGGAGATCCACAGAGCAGTGGATCACATAAAGGTGTCACTGGGCGAGTTCCTGGCCTTTGCTCAAGCCCTGAAGGGAAACGCCTCCAACCTCACGGATAACAACCTGCAGGCCAGAATTAAAAAGCAGCTGGAAATCCTCATGAATTCCTACAAAATATTGACAGAAACGAGGGAAGCTCTCAACAGCTGTAGCTGGTCCCTGGAGGCTTTGGTGCTCAGGAAGCCCCAGAACAACCCTGATGACCTGGATCGCTTCGTTATGGTGGCCAGGACAATTCCAGACGATATCAAGAGGTTTGTGTCCATCATCATCGCCAACGGGAAGCTGCTCTTCAGGAAGAACGAGAAGGAGCAAGAAAAGAAGCAACCAGAAGTGAACCTGGAATGCAAAATGGCAAAACAAATCCCAGTGCCAAGAAGAGTAGAAATTGAGTCACTCCAGAGAAATGCTCCTCAGAAATCCAGCCAAAGCCAGGTCCCTGTGGAGAAACCAGAAGAAAATTGCAGCGAGGATTGTGATTATGTCCAGTTACAGGTCAGTGACACTGGGGTTTATTCTCTGTACTCCTCACCCTTTGCAGGTGTTGGGCTGTTAATATCAGCACTATTCCACCTTTGCAGTGCCACATTCAGTTTGCTCTATGTCCCACTTTCCAGGCTTTACAAAGATCCAGGACTTTGTGACAGTGCTGGATGGCACGTGCACAATGAGCAGTAGAGAGAATGAGAGAAAATCAAACATTTTTATCATTCTTGCCAGCTTAAATTCATTTGGGAAGTAGGTTTCATTGGAAGTTAGCAATACCTTACTTCTCTTTTCTCTCACAGTTCTCTTCCTGCCACTACATTGTGTTTAGCACGACAAGAGATGTTCCTTCCTAACTTGATGTGTCATGGAAATCCTGTTTGCATAGAAATTAAACTCTGTGAATTATCACATTTATTTGTTGGAATCATTCTGGATGATTGTAAGAATCTCCTTAGAATCACTAAAGTATCTACTAAGAATATCTCCCTTAGTTTCCCAAAGAAATGCTGATTGTCCTTAAAATTTAGGGAACGTTACATTGAAATGTTTTGTTGATGTTGGTTTCAGTCTCAGATTTTGCAGGATCAGGCACTGCACTTTTAGGAGGGAAAAACCTACAGCTCCTTCTAATAAATCCCCCACTTCTATTTGCAACATGAAGGCTGCAGAACAAATAATTGTTTCCCCGTGAAATAAGAGAAAACCACATTTATATTTAAATACTTTATGTAGTTGTTTCAACTTTGCTTTCATTTCAATTTGTAACAGGCACAGAAAGTCATTTCAGGTAAAGAAGTAGCAAAGAAGAGTACAGAGTCAAACCCAAAGGTATTTCTGACTTTGAAAATATTATTTATGAGGGCTTTTAGTCCCTGATTTCTGTGCTTGCTAAACTCAGAATAATCTGCATTCAGACACACATCTCTACACATAGAGACCTATTTGCTTCTCAGAGATCATTTTCCCAGAATTACTGCTGAAAACCTGTGAAGAACACTTACTTACCTCAATCAAACAACTCCAGTTTGATGTCATACCATTTCTTTTATTGCCTTTCAGCATCATTTGAGATAAGGCTGTGAGGATCAGTATTTCAAAGTATCTTGTCATGCACTAGCACAAAATTGCCTTGTTTTGTGCATTTTAATCATTCATAACCGTGATTAGATCCATTACAGATCAATGTTTTGTATTATTTGAAAGCTTCAAGGCCAGGCTGTGTAAAGGATTGATGTTCAGCTGCAGCACTTTGCGTGCTATCCAATATTAAAATTGTATTTAGGGGAAAAAAAGCAATCAGGAGAATTTCCAACACTTTATGGAAAGAGAAATTACTGTAAAGGCTCCGGGGTGTGGCGATTTGGAGACCACAAAAAATTCAGGGTAGAGCAACCACAGAAACAACCAGCGTGTGACGCCAGGCTGAATCTATTTCTATTTTAACCCTTTCTCCAGGTTTTGCCATGTGCAAAAAAGACTGAAAACGCCAGCAGGAAAATCCCCCTCCCCGAGCACTGCAGGCTGTGCTTCGCTGCCCTGCACAAGGCCATCGGCGTGTTCACCGCCAGCCTCAGCAGCCAGCAGCCCCCCGAAATCTTCATCTCCCACAGCAAACTCATCATCATGGTGGGCCAGAGGCTGGTGGATTCCCTGTGCCAGGAGACCCAGGAGAGGGAGGCCCGGAGCGACGTCCTGCACGGCAGCAGCCGCTTCTGCAGCCTCCTGAAGAAGCTGGCCCTGGCCACCAAGAGCGCGGCCCTCACGTACCCCAACGCCGAGGCCAGCCGGGAGCTGCAGGAGCACACCGAGGAGCTGGCCCAGTACGCGCAGCAGTTCCGAGCCATGCTGGACTGAGGGACCGCTGCTCCGCGGGGCACCGCTCGCACACAGCTCCTGAGGGACCCGCTGCCGGCAGGTGAAGATCCCCACGCTCAGAATTCCCTCCAGGAATTCCCTGGCTGCAGGTGAAGATGCCCACGCTCAGAATTCCCTCCAGGAATTCCCTGGTAGCAGGTGAAGATCCCCACGCTTAGAATTCCCTCCAGGGACTCACTGGGTGCCAGTGCAGGTGAAGATCCCCACACTCAGAATTCCCTCCAGGGACTCACTGGCTGCAGGTGAATATTCCCACTCAGAACTCCCACCAGGAATTCCCTGGGTGCCAGTGCAAGTGAAGATCCCCACACTCAGAATTCCCCCCAGGAACTCCCTGGATGTCAGTGCAGGTGAAGATCCCCATGCTCAGAATTCCCTCCAGGAATTCCCTGGTAACAGAGAAGATCCCCACACTCAGAATTCCCTCCCTGCAGGTGAAGATCCCCATGCTCATATTCCCACTCAGAACTCCCACCAGGAATTCCCTGGGTGCCAGTGCAAGTGAAGATCCCCACACTCAGAATTCCCACTAGGTGTTTCCTGGGTGCCACTACAGGTGAAGATCCCTACACTCAAAATTCTCACCAGGAATTCCCTGGGTGTACTGTTGGCAGGTGAAGATCCCCATTCAGAGTTCCCACCAGGAATTCCCTGGGTGCTGGTTCTGGTGAAGATCCCCACACTCAGAATTCCCACCAGGAATTCCCTGGGTGCTCTGGTAGCAGGGGAAGATCCCCACAGCAGCTGATGCAGAAGAATTAAATCTGCACTTTCCTCTCCACTCTTCACATCCTGCCTGGAAATGTCATTGTCACAGCAGCTGGGTGGGAATGTTTGCTGTGTATTGGAGCAAAAGTTGTTGATTATGGGACTGATTTCTTATTTTTTATTCTCTATGTATGTCTGATAAATGTATTTTCCTTTTTGTTTTTTTTTTTTTCTATTCCTGTAAAGTCTGTCTTTAAATGTAGCTGCACAATGTTCTGTAACTTATGATATTCCAATATCAATTGTTTCCTGAGGAGTTTACTCAAAATTTGTAATCTCAGGCTTGGTTTGGGTTTTTTTCAACAGCTGCAAAGCTAATTTTTGGTTTTAACAAATGCAACACAGTGCAAAATCTGGTGAGTAGGAAATGCACCAGGCTGGTACTTGAGCACAGAAAAAAACTTTGGGAGAAGTCCTGACTCCTGATAAATCCCCAGGGAGCACATCATCCTCTGTCACAGCCCGGAGCTCCCAGAGCACTTCTCCAGCTGGGGAAAAAAACATTTATTTCAGTCACTAGAGGTGCAGAGCTTTGGGCAGCCGGACAGGTGATGTTATTCCCTGCTGGAATTCCATTTATTTTGGTCACTAGAGGTGCAGAGCTTTGGGCAGCTGGACAGGTGATGTTATTCCCTGCTGGAATCCCATTTATTTCAGTCCCTAGAGATGCAGAGCTTTGGGCAGCTGGACAGGTGATGTTATTCCCTGCTGGAATCCCATTTATTTCAGTCCCTAAAGGTGCAGCGCTTTGGGCAGCCGGACAGGTGATGTTATTCCCTGCTGGAATCCCATTTATTTCAGTCCCTAAAGGGGCTGTGGGCAGCCGGACAGGTGATGTTATTCCCTGCTGGAATTCCATTTATTTCAGTCCCTAAAGGTACAGAGCTTTGGGCAGCTGGACAGGTGATGTTATTCCCTGCTGGAATTCCATTTATTTTGGTCACTAGAGGTGCAGAGCTTTGGGCAGCTGGACAGGTGATGTTATTCCCTGCTGGAATCCCATTTATTTCGGTCCCTAAAGGTGCACAGCTTTGGGCAGCCGGACAGGTGATGTTATTCCCTGCTGGAATTCCTGCTCTGGGCTCCAGCCCAGCCCTCAGAGCCTTGGCCTGTGCAGGTTTTTAACTTTATCCCCCAATTTTCTGGACATAAAAATTTCTGGGTGTGACAAAGACACTGCGGCCTCGCGCGGCTACACCCGCGCTAATTGTAATTAGTTCTGCGAATTAATTTATTTTACGGCTGCAAGGCCCGGCCTTTGCTGGGTGTCCGCCCTCACAAGGGACAATCACGGCGTGAGCAGCCCGGGGACCCGCTGCCCCCTCAGCATCGTTCTCCTTGTCACCCCCGTGTTTTCGGGGTGATTTATCGCCGATATGGGTCACTATCACCGCCACATCACACTCGGGGCAGCGCTCGCATCCCACCGGGAATTCTGTGGAGCAAACTCGCTCCTGTGCTGTCCGTGACAGAGCTGAGGGCGGGACGCGCCTCCTCAGCGCCCCCACCAGCCCGCACCGCCTCGGGAGAGCCTCGTTTGGCCGGAAATCCTCCCAAAATGGATATCCCGGGGGATTTCCTCATAAAAACCAGGGATAGACCTGCGGGAAAGGGGCGGGAAGGCCGCTGGGAACGCCCTCCTCCCCCCCCGCTGAGTTGGTACGTTCCTTGCGCCCCCGGTCCCGGCGCGATGGGCTCGCCCGCCGCGCCCCGCCCGAGAGCCATGACCACGCCCCCAGCCAACCGTTGCTAAGCAACAGTAATCGCTGCTAAGTGATCGTTGCTAGGCAATAGCGTCATTGTAGTGCGCCGGAAGTGGCTCGGCGTACCCGGAAGTGCGCAGAGAAGGAGAACCCGGAAGCGCCATGGGATGCGATGGCGGCACCATCCCCAAGCGGCACGAGCTGGTCAAGGGGCCCCGCAAAGTCGAGAAGGTCCGGGGGGGGAGGATCTGTGATGGATATAGGGCTGCGGGGAGGGGGAGCCCCGGCCCGGGGGCCCTGTGTTAGGGTGGCGCTGGTGGCGGCTCAGGGCGGGGCCTGTGTCCTGTGCGGGGGCTTGGACGGGAAGTTCAGCGAGGCCAAGGGCCGGGGCCTGCCCTGGGCTCACTGCAGCCCCGAGAGCGCTGCGGGCTGGGAGAGAGGGGCTGGGAACGGGGCCGGGCTGGGAACAATTGGAACTGCCCAGGGAGGGTTGGAGAATGCATCAGGAATTTTACCAAAGTCTTTGGCTGGAGCTGTTTTGTGAATTATCCGAGTGCACGAAGCAGGTTTGGTAAGAAACCCCAGTGCTTCAAGTGTGAGCTGATTTTTTGCTTAAATAATTTACAGATTTTGTAACTAATGAGGGTTTTTTCCCCTCCAGGTTGACAAAGTGGCTGAGCTGGTGGCCAGGTGGTTCTACTGTGCCCTGAGCCAGGAGAAGCTGCGTCCACCCATCGTGGCCTGTGAGCTGGGCAGGTGGGAGTGCTGCCATGGCCACCTCAGGAGCTAAAACAGAAATAGAAATATAAATTCTAAATACAAAATTTAATAGGATAAAATTATTTGTTATCTATATATAAAATATATTCTATTAATCCCATATCAAAATATGAAATCAATTTAAATTATACATTAAAATTCTAAATATAAAATTAAATAATACAAAATTAATTTGAATATATTGAAATAATTCAATATGAAAATATTAAATAAATTGAAATTATAGATCTAGAATTATATATACAACATTAAATATTAAAAATTTAAAATATATTAATAAAATTTAATGAGATGTATTAGCTATCAATAATATGATGTAATATATTATAACATTATATTAGTATATTAAAATTAATTAGATAAATATATGCTCAATTAAACGTATAAAATTATAAATACAGAATTAAATAATATAAATACAAAATATATTTAAATTCAATTTAATATATTAATTATATCAATAATTTAATAATTAATAAAGTTAATATATTAATTCTATTGCAATACATTAATATATTAAATTTATTAAATATAAGCTATAAAAGCAAATTATTATTAAAATGATAAATATAAAATTACAAATACAAAACGCTATGGCAAGCCAATATAACCACTGGTGTTTTTCTGTTCCAGGCTGTACAACAAAGATGCCATCATTGAATATTTGTTGGACAAATCCCCTGATAAAACCCCCATGGAATCTGCATCCCACATCAAGAGCATTAAGGTAAACAGGTTGTGTTTGATGTGAGAGGTTAAAATCAGATGTTCAATCCCTGAGTCATGCTGTAAAATCTCTATTTGCTCATGCTCCCACTATGGATTGAAGTGTTTAAACAACAAAACACAGTGGCAGCAATGTTAAGGATTGTTTTCATGGCTCAAAAATCTCGGGGAAAAAGCTTAAGGTTTCACAGAATCACAGAATCCCTGGCTTGGGAGAGACCTTCCAGATCTCTGAGTCCAGCTCAGCCAGAGCCTGGCCCCCAGTGCCACATCCAGGCTTTGTTAATCACCCCCAGGGATGGTGACTGCACCACCTCCCCGGGCAGCCATTCCAGAACTTTATCACCCTTTCCCTAAAAACCTTTTCCTGCTATCCAGCCTGTATTCCCTTGGTGCAGCTGGAGGCTGTGTGCTCTGGTTGTGTCAGTGCCTGGAGACAGAGCCCAGCCCAGCTGAGCACAGGCACCTCTCAGGAGCTGTGCAGAGTGATGAGGGCACCCCTGAGTCTCCTTTTCTCCAGGTGAGCACCCCCAGCTCCCTCAGTGCTTCCTCACAGGGTTTGTGTTCTGGACACTTTCCAGCCTTTCCATGTCCTTCCTAAATTGGGGGACCCAGAGCTGGACACAGCACTCGAGGTGTGCCCTCAGCAGTGCCCAGCAAGGGGAGCACTGACCTCCCTGTCCTGCTGGCCACTCTGTTCCTGATGCAGGTTTGTGTTTTTCCTTTGTAGAACGTGACAGAGCTGCAGCTGGTGGACAACCCAGCCTGGTGTGGGGACAAGGAGAGCATCAAGGGGGACAAGTACGATGACCTGCAGGCTGCACGCTTCATCTGCCCCGTGGTGGGGCTGGAGATGAACGGCAGGCACAGGTCAGGGCTGGGGCTGCAAACTGCACACAGGGCAGGGAAACTGCCTGGGAAGTGGAAATGATGTGCTGACCCAGGGCTTGGGGGGAATATCTGTCTGGCTGTCAGCTTTCAGGCTTGAACTTTCATAGTTCAAGAGGCTTCTGGGTGTTCTTTCGTGGTATATTTAAGAGGAAAGATAAGAGTTAGCCTGTTCTTGAATAAATTAAGATGTGTAATGAAGGAGTAGGGGGAAATGTTGGCAGAGAAAAAGTATCTAAAGGTTGTTTGGGGGGTGGAGCACAGGAGATGAGATGTGACCTCCCTTGGATTCACATCAAGCAGTTGGAATCATGGATTGATTTGGGTTGGGAGGGACCTTAAAGCTCCTCCAGTGCCACCCCTGCCATGGGCAAGGACACCTTCCACTGTCCCAGGGGGCTCCAAGCTTCATCCCACCTGGCCTTGGGCACTGCCAGGGATCCAGGGGCAGCCACAGCTGCTCTGGGCAAGAATATTCCTCCCCAATATCCCATCCATGCCTGCCCTCTGGCAGTTTGGAGCCATTCCCTGTGTGCTGTCCCTCCATCCCTTGGAAATCCTCTCTCCATCTTTCCTGCAGCTCCTTCAGGCCCTGCAAGGCCACACTGAGCTCACCCCAGAGCTTCTCCAGCCCAGGTGAACAATCCCAGCTCTGCCAGCCTTTCCTCACGTTCTGTCTCTCCCTGTGTTAGGATCAGACTGGAGATGGATTCTCTGTCCCAACCCTGCAGTAAATCTGTATTTTACTGCTCTGGGGCAGGGGATTTCCTCACAGCCTGGTTTGGGCAGAGCAGCAGCTCCTTTGTCACCTGAGAGATGAGGAGTTCACAGCTTAATGGTTGCAAAGAATTTCTTCCTCCAGAGAGGGATTAGCCAGGAGATACTCAACATAAAAAACCAAAATACCTGTTGTGGTTTAATGTAGCCAATACTTTTCATTCATTTTTTGCATTGTGCAAATTAATAATAAATGAATTACACACTTAACTATGCTGATAGTTTGATTAGATGCAAGAACTTGTAAAGCAGGTGGGCTGTGACCTGCCAGCAGTGCACAGATCTCTCCTAGATTTCTTAAAATTATTGTGTGTTGTCTTTTCTTGGAAGGTTTTGCTTCCTGAGAAACTGTGGCTGTGTGTTCTCTGAGCGTGCTCTCAAGGAAATTAAAGCAGAAGTTTGTCACAAGGTGAGTTTTGCCAGCTGTGGAAGCAGCTGGGCCACGTGCATGTTTATATAATTGCATTCACTGCTATAAAAAGGGAGTTTTTATCTCAGCATGCAAATTGAAACTGAACTTGTGAAAGTTCTGTTCCATGATGGCCTCAAGTGTTTCTTCATGGTTTTTTAATTAAAAAAAATTATTCTAAATAACTATAAAAATGAGTAGTTTTGTTCTCAGAGTGTGATTTGGCAGTAACTGCTTTTTTCCCAATATTTGGTACTAATTTCAGTTTTTTAAAGGGTGATTGGTTTGGGTTGGGGGTTTTGTTTGATTGGTAATTTTTTCTTCCTGAATGCACATGGCTTGTGTTTTATCAGTACCTGTTCTATGGTTAAACTGGTTGTAAGTTCAGGTTATGGTTTGTATTTTTGAAGGACATTGGGTGTTGCTTTTTTCTTTATTTTTGGTTGGGGCCAACTTTGTAGAATTCTCAGCAGTTCTATAAATTATTGTAGAAAATACTGACAATTTCACATAGCTGATCTCATTGTAAAGGTTTTTCTGTAGCTAAGAACAATGATAAAATGAGCAAATACCCTTTTTTCCTATCACTACTTTCATTATCAGCAAGATTTGTGGTGAGAGTTGCCCCACTAGGGCAGTTATTTAATTTCTCTGAACACCCTGATATTGGATAAAACATGGAGTATATTTATATTAAACAAGACCTGGGAAGAAACACTTTTGTCTTGGTAAATTGTTGAATATTGTAAGGTTTAATCTCATATTGCTGCTTTCAGTGCTCATTTTGTTCTGTCCTAATGGCTTTGTTTCCTCTTGGCAGATAATCATTTATTTTTAATGAGGTTTTTTTATTTGCATCTAAATTTTTGTTGATGGATGGATGTAACCAGAGCAGAAAGTGCAGGAATGAGATGTTTTGTCCATGGTTTGGCCAGTGTGATAATTTGATAAAAACAAAATGAATCTCACATATTTTTCCCTGGCTTTTTTTCAGTAATGAGTATTTAACATGCAGCTGGAAATTCTTCACAATATTCAGAAAGATTCTTCTAGAAATAATTAAATGGATATAATATTTAGTCTCTCATGGCTGGGTTTTGATGCACAAAGACAATGGTGACCAGCTGAGAAAACACACAGAGTAAGGTCAGAGAGTGATTTGGCAGATTTTGGGTCTGTTCTGGTGCTGTTCTCCTTCAGAACCAAAAAGGGGAGTAAAACTCTTCTGAACAGGAGCAGAGAGAAGAGGTTGCTTTGTGGTATCTCACAGTTTATGTCCAAAGCACTAATTAGCAGCATTAAAATCATGCTTTAATTTGGAAGCTGTCTCTCTGAGAAGTTCCTGTGGATGTAAAATATGCTGGGAGTGGTGTGGGGACAGGACAGAGGTTATGGGATTGGTGCTGGAAGTCCTTCTGGGGGTCACTTTGAAAGTTAAGGACAAGATTACATTTAAAATGTACTTTCTTGGATCACTTCAGAGTTTATTTTGGACCTGTTTTCAGAGTCAAGTAAACACAGACTTGAACTAGTGCCCAAACTCTGAAGCTCTGTGCCATATCAAACACTTAACCCCAGGTTTAATTTAGATATGAAGCTTTCTGAAACAGATTTTATGCCTGTGGCTGTCAGATCCAGAGCTGGGTGTGCAGCAGTGGTTCCAGGGTCACTTTGGCACTTTCTGCTCTTAGGGCACCAAATTAACAAATATTTGCTGAGGTCTGAAAGTTGTGATTGATCAACTCTTTAACATAATAACACAGAATTCATAAAGGCTTTTCATGTGTGTTTCAAGGTGATGTGGTCATGGTAATCACAGTAATGAGTTGAATACTATTTATTACTTGAGAATGGTTTAATGATGATTTTCCTAAAATTTTGTTTCAAATCCAAAATCCTTTAAGCAAAGAAGGTCATGCTGCAAAGAAATTCTTAAGCTGACATGGCTTAAGTCATATAAGAATTGTATTTTCAGAGGCTTTTTTGTGCAGGTTTTTTGCCTGGTTCAATTTCTGCAAAAGGAGCCCATGATATACAGTGCCTGGCTATTGAACTTTTCATTTTAATTCAATTTGGAAATGATGTACAACAATTGTTCTGTGTGGTGGTGCCAGGGCTGAAAGCTGGAGACTGGATTTGCTGCAATGATGGCAATAAGGAACCTTCCATTCCCCTTTTAAAAGACATCATGGAGTGGATAAATGCTGGCAGTGCCCCACAGTGGACTGGAGAGAAATTAATTATGAATATTGCTGTGATTAGTACCTGCCAGACACCCATTAGCTTCAGTAATGGTTTGGAGAGAGGCTCTCAACAAGCTCAGCATGAACATGTGCCTGGCTTTTATTTTCCTTTCTTTTTTAGCTTTATTTCCCTCCATAAAAAAAGCATCTCCAGCAATATTTAGCCACAGGATAAGTCCTGGATTATCCATGAAACCAAGCACAGGCCTTTGGGTTGAGTTTGTAAATAAATAGGGACCAGATGGCCTTTCTTTAGGTTAAAGTTCATGTGCAAGAAATGATGTTTCCAATAAACATTTGTGGGAAAATGAGGAGGAAAGTTCCAGCAACCAGGGAATAAGTTTGGAATAAGAAACTTTCATGTCCTGTTGTTGGGTGATTTGATTTCTTTGGGAATAGGCTCAATCTGTAGCCAGTTTTCTTGCAAAAACTCAGGGATGTTTTGGGTGCATATTGAAGATTGCATTGAAATTGCTCCTTTTTAAATTTATATTTTATTTATATTTATTTTTTTTAATTTATATATATTTTTTATATTTATTTATTTAATTTCTATTTATAATTTGCAGTTTTTAATCAAGTGAGTTCTCCAGGTGTTACTGCACTTGCTGCAGGCTCTTTGCTTCTCTCAGTCAGGGATGGAAAAACGTTTGAAAAATGGCTTTTTGCTCAGTTTTCCTGCAATCCCTGGCCTCAAATCTTCCCTGTCTCCTTGCCCTAAACTCCTGCAGAGACTCAGAACAGAGACTTGGAGATAAACATGTGTTCCAGGATCCTTCTGTTATTAGGAGCAAAGCCTGGGAAGGGCTGCAGTGATGTTGCCATGCTACAAAATGAAATTAGGGATGTGGCTGGCCATGGGAAACAAAAACAACCAGTGGCATGGGCTGTGTCATAAACTGGTTGTCACTTATGTACAAGCTCTGAAATTTTACTATCAACTTCATTATTCAAAACATTTCACGGGACATTCAGTGGCCATGACTTTAATTTGTTGTTTCTCCATATTTTATCTTTGTTCAGTCACTGCTTCCATTTTATTATTTTCATGCTTTGGCTGTGGACATGAGGAATATTGACTTTCCAGCTAATAAGTCACTTAATGGATGATGAACTTTCCCCCTTGAATTCAGACATTCTTTGGGAATGACCCCATTGCCACCAGAATAAATCAAACCCGTTTATTTAGGGGGTGCGGGACTGTGCTTTACCCTCGGCGCCCAGAGCGAAGCTGTGCCTGTAAATACCCACATTTTCTGCTGTTTCCTGCCAGGACGCTGCACATCTGCAGGGCAGAGGGCTGAGCTCACACGTCCAGCTGCATGTTGAAGTGGCTGTGCTCCTGCAGGCGCCAGTGCTGCTCCACGGGCACCTGAGCCTGGCGCAGCACCTTGAGCCGCAGCCGCCGCTCCAGGCACTCCAGCGCCAGCGGGTTCCTGGCAGCCTCAAACTTGTTGGCAAACAGATGAGGGGATTCAATGATCCACTGCAGATCCCCCAGGCCATAAATGCAGATGTCTCTGACGTAATGACCTGCAGAGATAAATTGGAGAGGCGTGGCAGCAGCGGGAAGATGAACGGAAGCGTTTTTTAAAAAGAGTTTTGCACCTTTGGATTTCTGCATAGAAATCAAGCTGGAGGATAATGGCACAATATTATAAAGACATTTAAAATGTTTTACATAAATAGATGTTTGTTACTTCCAGCTGCTTCCCTGCCATGTTGCTCTGCTTAATAAAATCTTGTAGTTGGGCATCAGATGTTCTGAGCTCCTACTGGGATTCCTTGCTCAATCACACCCGGGCTCAGCCTGCACACTTAGGGATTTTAATTATTTCTGTATGCTTGCCATGTGGTCAGCACTATTCTTTCTTATTGTTGTTCAAATTGAAGGGATTTAAGCCAATGTTGATGAAAGTTCCTGACAAACATCCTTGTCAGGTAAAGCCCCTCCACCGAGAAGTGATCAAATTAGTGCATTGGTAATTAGGGACTGAAAGAAGGGTTGTCAGTGTGTGGATACTCTGCTCATCTCAAAATACATCAAATATGTAACTAATAAATTAATATAACACATATCTCAAAATCTCTTCAATTGGATATAGTGCAGTAATTTATAGGGTGCCTTGTTTTATTTAATGCTTCCAAAATATTATATATGACCACCGAAGCTCATTTAATAGCTGGTTTAAATAATACATAATCACCAATTAATGCTTACCAGTGAATCAAATTTAAGTTCATGATCAAAATTCACGTTACCTTTGCAGCCTTTGTGTGAAAGCCCTTCTTGATCTTTCCATTTAATGGCTCTTAGGTCTCCTTGCCAGCCTGCATTGGGTGTAGCCCCTGGAGCATCTTTAAAAACAAAAGGCTCTGATAAGATTCTGTACTACTTATTACAGGGAAAATTTTCACTGCTGGACACTTCTTAACTGCAGTCACATTAAGTATTTATTTGCAGATATTTATGTCATAAGAACAGATATCATTCTCAGTATTACCACTTTTTAAAATTTCTTCAGAGCAAAAGCTTTCATGCAGCAAAAACTTCTTTTTAACTAGAATTTTTCCAATTCCTGCTCTGCACTGAAGTAGTAATTTCCTGCTATCAAGCTTTGTTTCTCAGCCACCAGATGTGGCTTCAGCAAAGCTGAAGAAATTACTTTTATTTCTGCAATTCAGAGCCATTCATCTCCGAGCTCGCAGCCTCTCCCTGCCCTGCTGGGGTTATTTGTGGCAGAAATGCCAAACACTTACCAGGTAAACGATTGAGGGTGACCCAGTAGTGCTCATCAGGGCTGTAGGTGTCCCTGGACCACTCCAGCAGAGCTTTAGCCCGGGCATCACTCAGTGTGAACTCCACAAAGCCCTTGGTGAGGATGTAATAGGCACTGCCAAAATAGATGGTCAGGTTGTGTGGGGGCTGAGCTTTCCTGACCTTTGCTGGGTACACGTATGGCACTCCAGAATGCACGTACTCCCTGTAGCTGACCTCTGTCCTGTGCTTCACATGCAGGGGCTGCACTATCCCAGGAGTGATATTTTTACCATTCCATTTACTTTTTATGTATTCTATGATTTCTTTGTTTGTTTTCAAGGGGTAATCTTGACCACACAGATTAATAACATAATTCCACTGAACTCTGGAGTTAACGAGGTCTCTCATGCAATTAATATCAGCTTGTAATCTTGAAAACCCTCCATAAACAACGTGCTCTCTTTTGGAGGAAATAAAAATATTTTCAAAGCAGTTAACGATGTTCTGTACAGCAGTTTTATAATCTCTGGATGACTTTTCATCAATGTGGATGCAGTAAATATTCTGAGGCATATAAATAGCTCTTAGCAGCCTCACAAACATTTCCAGTTCCTTGTGAATTGTAATAATGTATGCCAAGGAGAAATTTCCTTCTTCCTCTGACAGTGGTCTGGTGATAAAATGCAAAGTCTTCAGGACTGTGGAGCAGCTGCAGGAAGTCTGAATGCAGCTGAGGGCTTTGGGCTGGAAGGACTTCTGACAAAAGTTTCCAATTCTAAATGCTGCAGGTTTCCCCACAAAAAGAGCAGAGCAAAGTTCATCTGGGTAAAAACCACACTCTGCTCTTTTGACACGGAATTTTTGCTCATCTGACTCATAAAGTGGAACCTTTAGGTAAATGAAGGTGTAGATGAACATACAGACAGCAACACACACTAAAAATCTTGATTTCTTTGCATGAAGTGGGTTCATCTTTTACTTCCAGATCCTGTCTTCTTATCATAGTCCAGTTAAACATTCAGATCATCTGAAAGGAAAAGTGAAACAGAGGGAAAGAACCTTTCTGTTTATTTTTTTTAAGTGATGTCCTGTTAGTGCTGCATTTATAAATGTTGGGATTACTACCAGGAGGAACTGTGTGTGCCCACACTGAGTGCACTCAGCCCTGGGAATGCAGAGCTGCAAGGCAGGAATTTTGTCTTTCCAGCACAAAATGATCTCAGAATGATACAAAAGGACCCAAAATGGCTTTGAATTCTTTACTGCTTGACCAAGGGGTCTCAGCCCCTCAGGTGGGAGATTCCTGTGCTCAGAGGTGAGCCCAGGGAAGAAGTGAGTGCTCAGGAGCAGCTGCTGCTGAGATTTCCTCAAGGCCTGGAAAACTTGAAGTTCTGCCAGAGGATCAGAATTCAGTAAATTAAATCAACAGAAAATTTATTAAATAAACAGAAGGAAGAGGCTAAAACGTAATCCACGAAATACACTGGGTTTTATCCTTATAAAGTCAGCTAATGTTTCTGACTCTGATTTTTTTTTTCTTCCATTTTCTCCCGACATCTTTGTATTTGAGCTTTGGAAAACCGAACAAGGGGACAAAACTCATTTCTTATTTTTGGTATTTGTGCATACCCTGAGATAAGCACACAACTGCCAGTACTGGCATTCTGAGATAACCAATTTACAGCAGTATTAGCACAGGAGTTTTTCCATTGTGGTCTTTTCCTTACCTTTGCCTTGTTGAACAGTCAGAAGATTGAGGCAGCAGTGTGAATCCCACAGCAATTACATGAAGTCTTTATCCTTGAAGCACTTGGTATTAAAATTCTAGAGAAAAATATCAAGGAGAAGGTGCATCAACTGCCATTAAGCTTAATAGTTAATTTTTAAAATATTTTAATTTAAAGGTAGTTAAATTTCTCTTCTTTCATTCAATGATTTTTTTAAACAGAGTTTGCAATTCACTTTGAAATATTTTACATTTAGCAGCTGTCAAAATCATGAAGTATTTAGCTTTACACAGGAACAGAGAAAAATAGACTTTTATAAAGACAGTTTCATTAGAGGAATGCTGCTGTGGTTAGAAAGCTCGAGTTTTTCATTACAAAGTGGAAAATACTTCTTTTTAATAAAAAAAAATCAGTATCTCCCTTAAAAGCTTGAAAATAAAGAGAGCATTGTAGTTAAAGCACCAACGAGACATAAAATTCAAAAAGCATTAAGAAAACAAATTGAACCGAGGGAAGGGATCCTCCATATTCCCACATTTTTAAGATCTTATTAGTCTGTTGGGAAAGAATGTATTTATCTTCTGGTCCTTACTGGTATGCACTGGATTTCATGCTGGAATGGTGCCTCCTTCCCACTGAGCATTCCAGAAAGCAGAGCTGGCTGTTAGGTGCAGGGCTCCTCCATTTTCCTGGGATGTTCTTCAGGCAGCTCAAAGAAAAACAGGAGGGAATCAGCTCCCAGGAGAATCTTTTTGCCTTGGAGCTCCTCAGGGATCCATTTAGTGGGTAAACAACCTTGATGGGAGCCTTCCATCCATCTGAGCAAAAAACTGCAGCAAATCAAGTCCGTGTCAACCTTTGGATGCTGTGCAGAAAGCAGGAGAGCAGGGGTGCCACTGCAAGGTGAAAAGCAGGATTTTTGCATTAAAAATGAAATTCAATCCCTCCTGTGCCAGAGCCCAGAGGGGTTTCTGTGAGGACCATGATGTACATACCCAAGGGCTGGAATTGGGGAAACACTGATTTCTGTGGAGCCCTAATTACACAATACTACTTAAACTTGTGAAGAAGAAGGTGAAGGACTAGCTTCTGCTCTAAAACTTCTATTTTGCTTTATATATATATTACTATATTCTAAAACTTTACATTTTAAGTTTTCTACTATGTGAGATTACACACTTCTATTCCAACTACACACTTAGAATCTATTATTTAATTTTGGAAGCTTTCCTTATGGCTTCAGGTTAAATGTAGTGTTCTCTCGGGGGTTAGTGTCTGATAGTACAGAAAGTTTAAAATTCTTAGCAACTAGGGTTCTAACAGAGCTGGACTTGGACAAACTCTTTATTCTGAGGGAATTAGTGGCAAGAGGAACATTGAGATTCCTCTGAATTATTGAACATCACAAGATCTCTGCTGTGTCACGGGGAAGTTTCATTCTGAATATAAGAATTACACTAAAAACAGCAGGCAGCTGTAAAAATATTTAGGATTTTATACCTGATTAAATATAAAACATCTTAACACCAAGATTGTGGGTTCAGTCCCTGTACAGATCACTTACCTGGGGGCTGAACTCAGTGATCCTTGTGGGTCCATTCCAACTTGGAATATTCTCTGAACCTGTCCAGAATGAGGGTGCTTGGCAGGTTTTTTTCTTTAAATACATTTTGGACAGGTTGCAAAGTGTAATTCTAGGGAGTCAAGCTGTAAGCTGCATGTTTCATACACCTGAATTTTTATTACCCTTCAAGTAATAGCTTCTGGGGCTGTTTCAGGCTGTTAAGTGCTTACCATGGATTTTTTCCTACTGGACTGTGTGACATCTAGAAATTGTATTTTTATGGCAGCATAAAAGTACACAAACACCCCATAATCAGGTAAGAGGCAGCAATTCCTCTCCAGTGTTAACATGTTTATGGGCAACTGCAAGAACAGAATTTGACATCTTTCAGCCTCGTGAGGACATTATGGAATGAAAGCTTTTTGGTACCAGATTTAGAGCTGGAATTGCAGCTGTCAGTGCCACTGGATATGAAATTTGTTGTTTAACAGGATCCTCTCAGCCCTATCTGTTGGAAAGATTATTATCCCAAATTTCCTGCTGCCCTTGAGGAGCAAGAGATCCCGTTGGGAATGTCCACTGTCCATAATGATCCTGCTGGGACTGTCTTGCCCTTGAGTCTTATTATGTAAGAGTGCTATGACAAGTACTTTCTATTAGCACAATGTCTCTGAAACTCAGCATTTCTTACGTTATGCACAGGTTTTCTAAATCTGGAGGATGAAGCTGTATGAATTTTTAAATCTCCTGCGAGTAGCGTGTGGCATTCTTGGAAAAAAAAGAAAAAAAAGCAGGGATTTTCAAGCACCTCTGTGGATGCTTTTAAGGACATTGCTTAACAGAAAATTGTTGTAAGCCTAAGATGCTCCATCTCAATTAACAAAGTAAACTCTAGAGGAAAGGGGAATTATGATGATGCCTGGAAAAAGCCTGTGAAAGTCAGCTCAGCTCATGGAGACCCCATTAGCACACACTGTTTTGCAGTAACAACTCCTTTTGCTTTTTGCTGTTTCTCCTGCCATTGCATTTAGGACTGCACCTTGAAACATTCTGGTTTCTCTGTGCTCTTTGCTTTTGCTTAATATTAAAGTTTAGATCAAGTTTGCTTTGAATGACCTCGTAATTTAGTGAGACAAATGACTTGGGATTGCTTCATCTTCTAATGAAATGCTGAAAAAGCATTAAATACTTATTTCAACTTTTTTATAGCTAATTTTTTTCTGTTTGAAAGGTATTTATGCAGGCATTCATGTAGACATTTTATAAACAAGGGAAGACTTAATTCAATCATTAAAAAATGTTAAAATCAGTTATTTTAAATGCTTTTTCCATTGCTTTGTTTTTTGTTTAAAAGGGGGTCAGGACATGGAGTCTGCTTCTGGACTTTGAGATGCATTGAGTAAAAACATTTCACCATCAAACCCAGTTATTTAAATAATTATTTAAAAACACTGCATAATTTGCATATACAGCAAATTTATTAAGTTTTAACGTTCGTCTTTGCTCATAGTAACTTAAAACAAAAACAATGAAAGCTATTTAAAATAAAAACATTGAAAGCTATTTAAACCCTTAGTTCTAGAGCTGTAAAAAAATAAGTTGTGGTTTTTACAATACAATTAGTACTAATGACCTCCATCCTTCTGTGCATCCATCACAACGTAGGTGATGTAGGTGATGCAGCCTTACCTGGTCCAGGCTCAGCCCCGGGATGGCAACTGTGATTTTTATAAGATAATTAGTATTAATGACCTCCATCCTCCCTCTGTGCATCCATCAAAACGTCAAGAAGGAGGAAAAAAAATTAACCTGACTGCAGATTTGCGTGTTTCCTCAGTAAAATGACCAGTTGGCATAAGGAAAAAGGAGGAACCTGCGTGCTCCGATGAAAGTGCTGCAGCCTTACCTGGTGCAGGCTCAGCCAGGGGATGGCAACTGTGATTTCTGTAAGACAATTAGTACTAATGACCTCCATCCAGAGAAGGGGGGAAAAAAATTAACCTGACTGCAGATTTGCGTGTTTCCTCAGTAAAATGACCAGTTGGCATAAGGAAAAAGGAGGAACCTGCGTGCTGCGATGTAGGCAATGCAGCCTTACCTGGTCCAGGCTCAGCCAGGGCACGGCAGCTGTGATTTTTATCACACAATTACTACTAATGACCTCCATCCTCCTTCTGTGCATCCATCACAACGTAAAGAAGGGGAAAAAATTAATCTGACTGTAGATTTGCATGTTTCCTCAATAAAATGACCAGTTGGTATAAGGAAAAAGCAAGACTTGCGTGCTGCAATGTAGGTGATGCAGCCTTACCTGGTGCAGGCTCAGCCAGGGGATGGCAACTGTGATTTTTGTAAGACAATTAGTACTAATGACCTCCATCCAGAGAAGGGGGGGAAAAAAATTAACCTGACTGCAGATTTGCGTGTTTCCTCAGTAAAATGACCAGTTGGCATAAGGAAAAAGGAGGAACCTGCGTGCTGCGATGTAGGCAATGCAGCCTTACCTGGTGCAGGCTCAGCCAGGGGATGGCAACTGTGATTTCTGTAAGACAATTAGTACTAATGACCTCCATCCAGAGGAGGGGGGAAAAAAAATTAACCTGACTGCAGATTTGCGTGTTTCCTCAGTAAAATGACCAGTTGGCATAAGGAAAAAGCACGGACGTGCTGCGCTGTAGGCGACGCAGCCTTACCTGGAGCAGAGGCAGCCGGGGCTCGGCGGCGCAGCCGAGGCGAGCGGAGCTGGACGCGGGGCTCATTGTCCTTCACGGGGCCGGTGGCGCCGCCGTTAACCATTAACGGGAGCCCCGCATCCCGCCCGCATTGCTGTCCCGGGAATGCCGCTCCTGCCTTCCCTGCCAAGGCTTCGGCTGCCGGGGATGTCAGGGAATATTGCCGAGGAGAGGGAGCAACGCTGTGCCCCCCTCACACCTCAGCTGAGCCCCTGAGCTGCGATGGAGAAGTGGGAGCACTGGGACCTGCCTCCTCCTCTTCCTCCTCCTCCTCCTCCTCCCCCTGCCCTTAACTGTTCGCCTGCCGAAACTTTCCAGTTCCAGCAGGGAATTGCTGCTGCCGGGCATTTCCAGTGGCTAGGAGCTGAAAAGAAAATAAATGAGAGATCTGCTTGAGGCACAGACCTCACTTGGGAGAAGCAGCTTAGCGGAAGTTAGGAAGAATTAAGGCGTAAGTTAACAAAGTAATTAAATGTGAGTGCCTCTTATAAATGTATCCACCTCTGCAAAATGGGGATCAAGCTCCGAGCAGGCCGAGGAGATAAGAAAAAAGGGTTTGAATGGAACTGCTGGCACTTCTGCAAAACAGGGTCTGGCCCTGGTGGGTGAGGAGATAAGGAAGAGGTTTAAGTGTGGCTGCTGTGTCTGAAGGCTTCTGTAAGCAAAGGAGGAAAATAAGAAGAGCTGATACAAAAAAGCTAGAAAAACATGTTGGTAATGGATAGGAAACAGAAGGACATAATAATAATAAATTACAGCTGTAAACAGAATGTAGGTCTTGTAGCAGTAAAGTGATGAATGCGTGTGGTAGAACCGTGTGCCGTGGTTGGAGCCCTGAGATAAAGAAACCACAAGTTCTGTAAGACCCCAGCCCTTCAAACTCTAACTTTTAGATAAGCAAACATACAAGGGCAGACGCCAGAATTTAAAATTATAAAAGTCTGTGTGAAATGAACCCCCGGCAGAAATGCACACGGAGGTGTTAACCCTATGTGTTCTCTGGTGCCAGAAAAGCGCTGTACTGTACAGTACCTGCTGTGGAGCAGATTGCTTTGAACCATCCTTCACACACACAGTCTTTGCTGTTACAGCCTGTTAAAGGTTCTTTAATAAATGGAAAGTTCAGCTTAAATGTGCTGGGATTGGGAGGAAACATCCTGATAAAAATACCATGTTGGTGAGAAATAAACAGAGAGAAAACCTCAAAGTTAAGGCACAGCTGCAGGTATGACAGGTACAAAATTATCTCTGATTTTTAAGAGAAACTCTGTAAATTGAGGCTTTTTCTTGGTTTGGAAGTAGATGCTGTAGCTCCTGAGTGGAAGTTCACATTCTGTGAATCACTAGGTGGGGAATTTCCACTGCTCCCAAGTTGTCCTTTACTCCCTGACCCATTGCATGTCTGGGTTGGCTGACAATGTGAAAAAACATGTTCAGCAAATCTTACACTCCTGAACTTTTAATGGCTAAACCTCTGGAAAATTCTCTCTTAAAACAAGTTTTACTTAACTGTGGCAAGCAAGAATAATCTTTAATACATGAGCTTGTGTGGCTGGGAGGTGAACAGTGAGATGGTCCATGGGTGTTTAATCCTCCTCCTAAATGTTTGAAGAGGGACACTCTTGGCCATCCATGTCCCATATCCTGGTGGCAATTGTGCATTTCCTGGTAATGGTCATGTTCAGGAGGACTGCAGGAATTCACTGTTAAAATGAGAGAAAGAGCCTTTAGGTTTCTCTGAAGACGTCAGACTGTAACACTGGTGTAAATATTTAGATATGAAAACATATTTGCCTGTTGTTTATTTGTATTGCATTAAGACTGGAGTCTTAATGTAATACAAATAAACTGGACAGGACTACATTTTAGATGCCATAAAAAGAAATAAATGTGTCCTTGTAGTTTACAGCAAGAAATAATGTACAACTCTTGTCTTAGGCAGCTGAAACTGTAAACTCTAGAATTCAGGAAGTCAAATTAAGAGTTCATTACTAGTTTTAAAATCCTGTATTTTATACTTTAAGAAGGACAAAAAATATGTCATTTAGGAATGTCCTCTACTCAAGGTGCTAAGAACTACAGGAGGTACCTTCATCTGTATTTAAAGGCCCAAGATAAACAAGGTACAGCAGAGGAGATTCTGTGATATAATAAAACAAACATTTTCCCCAAGACCTTAATTAATCTGAAGGAAGAAACATCTGAATTTGCAGAACTGAAACTTCTTTCTGCTTTTTATCTCATTAAGATGTTTGGAAGGGTATAGTCTCTGACATAATCCAATGTTGTCATGGCAAAAATTTTTTTTTCAGGGAATGGAAAGAGCACTGTCTTCATTTCCTTGGTTCTTGTAAATACTTCTCAGTTTTGAACAATTCTGTCTGTGTTTTCCAGATGGGAGCCTTGGATTTGCTTGCTCTTTTAAAATGCAACATTTAATGAAATTAGAGTCTGCTGACAAAGTATGTTTGAAAAAATGCTGTGTTAGGAACCACCCTAGAAATTGTGGGGCTTCTGTAAAGGAATTTGTGGGGCTGCTTTAGAACCAAGTCAGCTGCCAGCTCCTGCCTCAGCATGGAGACTGAAATTCTTGATTTTGGAGCCTTCTCACTCCCAAGTGTGAGGTCACACCAGGCTGGGATTTCTGATTGAGTAGAAATGGAAAAATATGGGCTACTCCCCCATTTTTTGGGTGTGATTTATGCTCCTCCTGCCTGCTGTGCCTCTCTCCAGCCCCTGTTTCTCCTCTCAATCTCAGGTTCATTTCTGAAGCTGTGCTCAGTACTCGGGCAAAGTCCTGCCCATATGTCCTTTCATTTATTTAATTTCCACTGCAAATACATGAGTAACCTTTCTAAACCTTTGTTTAAAAAAAAGAAGAGTAATGGCAGAGGCAGGATTATAAATTAATCTTGCAGATTAATAGAAAGCTGCTGCATTTAACAAAATAACACAAAAAAAAAAAAAAAAACAAAACAAAAACAAGCAAACAAAAAAACCCAAAAAATAACAACAACAACAAAACGCCAAAACAAATAAAGCAAAAAAAAGCAAGTTGAGATCTTAGACAAGAAAACATCATGGTCAATGGGCTGGTACATCAAATGATTGCAAATGTGCACAGGAAAACATCTGTGCCTTCAACCATGAAACAAATGTGGAGGTACACAGAGCACATTACAGCCATTATCCAGATTAATTTATGAAAGTAGTTGGAAACTTGGGAGTGTTTGATAAATCAGATAAGGGTATGGTCTCTGTGATACAATCCAGTGAGGCAGCAAGGCAAGGGTAATGAATTATTCTGCTTTTATGACTCCTTTTTATTCCCACAGTAAAATCAAAACAAACAAACAAACCCAAACAAAAAAGCCCCTTCATGTTTTCCTGTCTACCAGTTGAAGAGAAAAATTTGCTGTCTGTTCCACATGTGGAGGAATAACACCTTTGCTCCCATCAGTTGTTGTTTCTTATCTCACTGAGGTGAAAGACAAATTCAAGAGCAGAATGGCATCCAGGTCTTAATCAAATGCATTCATGACTAAAAATCAGAAATACTTCTGGGTTTTAGCCGTGGGGTTCAGTAAATTGAGTAGATTCTAATTAGGAATACTTTCAGGTACATTTGTGCCAGTAGAACAAGGAAACCATGAACAGAAAATACACAAGTAAAAGAATTAGTTCAGAGTGTTGTTTATAGGAGACAGAAAAAGAAATATGCAATTTTGTCCTTTCTTTTCTTTCATGAAGTGTGGAGTTCCCTTTCAAGAGGAAGATGTGATTGTCCTTAATGGTAATAAAGAGGATGTGGAAATTCTGAAGAAAAGGATGGAGGAAAGAAGACTTAAAAGTAAATTAGAAAAGGTAAGATTTTTATACATTATTTATTATAAAATTGGAAGAATTCTTGTCTGCAAGGAATCTGCTCTTAGATTTGCTGATCTTTATAAAGATGGAGGAATTTACTCCATGAGCTGTGCTGTATTTAAACACTACTTTGAAAAGCAATGGAGTTTTTTGTGTGTATTTGACCAATAACGTCTTGAAGTTGTAGATCCTGAACTTTCTCCTGACCTTGTGCACTCAAAATGGGTAAAATCGACTCTTGCAGCAATATTTCAGGGTTTTCTTGAAATTAATTCATTCTAGTAATGAGCTACATCATCCCTCTATTTCTTGTGGCAGTTCCTGATGGTGGCATCAGTTTTTTGATCTTATAAAATAAAATGTCTTTTATTGGCCTCTGTCAGAAACAGGATGTTGGGTTCTGTGCATTCCTGGGCTGTGAGAGTGTGGAAATTGATCATGTTTTGTGGTTCTCCCCGTCCTCAGCAATCACTGCTCCCCTAATTCCCACCATGCTGTTGAGGCTTTTGCATTTTTCTGTGTGCCCAGGTAAAATGCAGTGGAAATGAAATCCTTGCAGCTCTGCCCTGTGAGCTGGGAGCTGTTCTGTGCTGCTGAGCTGTCAAATGACACTTCTGCATTTGGGGATTTTGTCAGCACTGCTGTTTTGCCCTGAGCTCCCTGGAGGATGCCAAAGCAAGCAAATCTTTAGTGCTGACTCAGTTCAGGGTGCTCAGGCTTAGCTGGATCTCAGGAGCATAAATCATAAATCATAAATCTGATGCTTTCAGCCTCTGAGACTTGAGATGGAGGTTTCATCCCTTGATTTTGCCATGCAAATATCTCCCTGGTTTGTTTTCAAACTAATGCTTGTTTACTTGCTGGGGAGCATATGATTCCTTCTCATCACAGGGGCTTTATTCTTCTGTGCCAGTGCAGCATCACTGGGCCTGGGCAATACATCAAAAGGATGCTTTTCCATAAAAATCCTGCTGCTCTGTTTCCTGTTTTTCATAGTCTCTGCATCTCATGTCTGATGGCTTCTGGCATAAGAGTGATAATCTCATGGTGTCTATTCAGAGGGGTTTTTTCTTTTTTTTCCCCTCAGTACTTGGTAGTTAAAAGTTGGGGTGAAAAAAAAAAAATTATAATTTGTTGCTAGACTGTTGCAGATCTCAGCAGATGAGTGAGTGGTTGGTTGCATTGGTTTTCTTTAGAAAAGGGCCCTAACAAAGCACCTGTAACTTTGGAGCAAATAATTTTGAATACTCTGGAAGGTAATGCTGCCCACAATTTCAGCAAAGTGCCTGAATGTGCAGGGCAGTTAGGTGACAGTGGCTTCAGGCGACAGCACAAAAGGACACCGGGGCTCTGTGCCCTGGGGGAAGATGCAAATGGGATTTGTTTGGTTAGTGGAGAATTACAGGATAGGATTTGCAAATCTCTCAGCCTCAGGTGGTGACCTTGGTGCCCCAGCTGGTCCCTGCAGCTGGAAGCAGCTCTGCTGTCCCTGCACATCTGAGCCTGGGAGCCCCAGTCCCAGTGACAGCACAATTCCCACTTCTGGCACTGCTTCCCTTCCCTTCCCTTCCC